GGAGGACCTGGAGGCCATCATCTCCATGAAGCACTTATGCTTGAAGTTCCCCACCAGTGGCGGCATCGGCTACGACAGAGGAAACCAGGGGATAGCCAGGGCATGCTACCTCAAGCTAACGAGGCTGGCCGAAAGGGAAGGACAAAGAATAGACACCATCACGGCGACCGTTGCCAAGGACGAGGAGAGGCCGCATGCTGAACCAGTCGAAGAGGTCGAGGAGGTCCCCCTGGATACCTCTCGGTCGGAGCGGATCCTCAAAATCGGGAAGCAACTCCCGCAGGACCAGCGAGACGTCATCCTCCTCGTCCTACGGTCATACGCCATCATCTTCGCGTAAGGCCCGAACGACATGTCAGGCATCAGCCGGAAGTTGATCACCCACCGGTTGACCGTCGATCCGGCCTCCGCACCTGTTAAGCAGGAGCGACGCTACTTGTCCGCCGACAGGCGGGACTTTGTCAAGGGGGAGGTCACCATGCTCCTCTCAATCAACCACATCAAGGAGGTGAAGTACCCGATGTGGCTAGCCAACGTCGTCCTCGCCCAAAACCGCCGACATTCAGAATGTGTGTTGATTACACTGACCTGAACAAGGCGTGCCCCATGGACCCGTTCCCTCTCCCCAACATTGATCAATTGGTGGACGAGACGGCGGGATGCGAGTTGATGTCGTTTCTTGACGCCTTCAGAGGGTACCACCAGATTTTCATGCATGAAGATGACGCTGAGAAGACGGCCTTCATGACCCCCGGAGGGAATTTTTTGCTACCTCGTCATGGCTTTCGGACTCAAAAACTCAGGCGCCACCTACACCAGAATGGTGGCTAAGATCTTCAGGACGGTCCTCGGCCGGACGATGGAGGCATACGTCGATGACATGATTGTCAAAAGCAAGCGGGCCACCACACATGCTGACGACCTCCGGGAAATTTTTGAGATCATGAAGGAGTTCAAACTCTGCCTCAACCCCAAGAAGTGCGCCTTTGGCGTCCAAGGCGGCAAGTTCCTCAGCTATATGGTCAGCCGGAGAGGCATTGAAATAAATCCGGAGAAGATACAGGCCATCATCGATATGGAGCCGCCCCGCAACGTCAAGGAGGTACAGCGGCTAACGAGGCGCCTGGCGGCCCTGAGCCGTTTTCTCTCAAAGTCAGGCGAGAGGTCACTTCCTTTTTTCTAGATCTTGCGCAAAGCAAACAGCTTCAGGTGGACGACGGAGTGCCAGGAAGCATTTGAAGAACTGAAGAGGTACCTTTCGTCTCCACCTGTGCTCTCCAAGCCCAAAGCCGGCGAAACCCTCTTCTTATACTTGGGGGTGAGCACGTCGGCCATCAGCTCCGTGCTCATCCGCGAGGACGAAGGGGTGCAGAAGGTCATATTCTACTTCACCAAAACACTCGGGGAGGTCGAGCTCAGGTACTCCCCCATTGAGAAGACGGTGCTAGCCATCGTCCATACGGTGAAAAATCTGGGGCACTACTTCCAGGCCCATGCCGTCCACGTACTGACCCAGCAGCCTCTGGGCGCGCTCATGAGGAGCCCCACTAACTCCTCAAGGATGGTGAAATGGGCGATTTTCCTCAGCCAATTCCAAATTGATATCAAGCCAAGGCCATCTATCAAAAGGAAAGCCTTGGCCGACTTTGTCACCGAATGCACAGCGAGGGAGACGACCACTACTACCCTCGGGCCAGAGCCAGATGACACGTGGATCCTGTTCACCGACGGCTCGTCGGCCGCGAAATCATGCGGGGGCGGCGGCGTCCTCATCTCCCTGAAGGATTCAGAGCTTACTATGCCATCCGCTTCAACTTCAGGGTGTCCAACAACGAAGCCGAGTATGAGGCCCTCCTCAGCGGCCTCAAACTTGTCGTCGGCCTCAAAGCCAAGCACATCAGAGTCAGGTGCGACTCCAAGTTGGTGTTAGGCCAGGTTGAGGGTACGTACGAAGCAAAGGAAGGCCATATGAAGCAGTACAAACAGGCGGCAGAGGAGTTGCTGAAAGCGTTCGAAACCACCGAGATCACACAGATCCCAAGGGCCGAGAACGCTGAGGCCGACATCTTCTCCAAGCTCAGCTCGGATACTCCAGAGCACATCTCCAAGTTAGCCAAGATCGAGGAGCTGAGCATGTCCAGCATCCATGGCAGCCCCATCTTGTGCATCCAACAGCGGACGGAGGACTGGATCTCCGACATCACCACCTTCATCACCACGGGGGAGCTACCCCAGGACGAGGAGAGGGCCAAGTTTGCCAAGCTCAGGGCTCCAAGCTACACTATTGAAGATGGCAAGCTCTACAAGCGATCCTTCAACGGCACTCTCCTCCGATGCCTGCATCAGGACGAGGCTGAAGTGGCCATGTAGGAAGTTCGCTGCGGTGTTTGCTCCTCACACCAGGGCCCTTTCAATATGTCCAGGTGTCTCGTCGTCTAGGGCTATTTCTGGCCGACGATGGCGCGGGATTGTGCAGATCTTGCCAGGAAATGTACCACGTGCCAGGTGCTCCAGAAGGCCCCTGGTCGGCCAGCCGTCAACTACGCCCCCGTCAGCACCGCCATTCCGTTTTCAAGGTGGGGGATTGACCTGGTCGGCCCATTACCCAGAGCTGCCGGCAACAACCGCTACATCATCGTCGCAGTCGACTACTTCACCAAGTGGGTCGAAGCGGAACCTTTGGCCAGCATTACAGGAGCAAGATGTCAGAAGTTAGTCCATAAGAACGTCATTACCCGCTTCGGCGTCCCCCAAGAGATCATATCCGACAATGGCACCCAGTTCGAAGCGGCACCCTTCCAGGAGCTTCTTCGAGAATGGGGAATAAAGCACCGTTTCTCCTCTGTTGCTTACCCTCAGGGCAACGGGCAGGTTGAGAACGCCAACAGAACTATAATGGAGGGGCTGAAGAAGAAGCTCCAGGACGTAGGAGGAAGTTGGGTCGACGAGCTCCCCAACATCCTGTGGTGCTATCGTACTACGCCAAGGAGGGCAACAGGTGAGACACCTTTTGCCCTGTGCTATGGCTTTGAAGCAAAGGCACCCACGGAAGTCGTCATTCCCAGCCGACGGGTGGAGCAGTACGAGCCTCAGGTCAACGAGGAGAACATGAAGATCGACCTCCACCTGGTCGAAGAAAGACGCGAACAAGCATTCATCCGGGCGGAGAACTACCAGCGTCAAGTGAAATCATAATGTGATGCCAAGGTACGTTCCCGGGAGTTCCAAGTGGGGGACTACGTCCTCCGCCGAAGGGAAGCGAGTCAGCCGGCAGAAAGGGGCAAGCTAGCCTTGAAATATGAAGGTCCCTACATCGTCAGTGCCATGGTAAAACCCGGCACCTACAAGCTTAAACGCCCAAATGGGACCAATGTACCACGAACGTGGAATGTACACCATCTGGTGAAGTTTTATCAATAATCCGAAGGAAGGGCAGCCGGCAAAGCCCTCACCCCTTGACGGATTATTGATTGAACACCACCCTCGGCCTTGAGCCACTTATGAATAAAAATCATGTTTCCCTTGATTTTTTGGAATTTGAGTGAAAAATTAACGGGAGCCCTCATCGGCCGCCTTAGAGCGAAAGGCTCAGGTATGGCCGATACGGCGCCTTGCATCTGCAGCCTAGAGCGAAAGGCTCAGGTATGCCCCATTGTATTTTGTATCAGCAAAAGGTTTAGGCCCAGTTGAGAGAGCACGTCGTATCGGCCCCTTAGAGCGAAACGCTCAGGCAGGGCCGACGATGTCCCCAGGACGACGGGCCCACAAACGGCCCACGTCTTGAAATGGGAAGTTCACCGCGTCGTCCACGCGCCTGATTGCAGGACGACAGGCCTGAAATCATGGTCGAGGTGACAAAATCCCCGAACTCAGAGTCGAGCAACGGCAGTCGTTGGAAACCAACCAAAAATCTAGCTCGCGTCATAAATAGGCGACGGGACCCCCCAGAGACCATGGACGTTATAAACGAAGTCCAAACCGGCCGGAGGATTATCGACCCCTTCGACCGAAGCCTGAAAGAAGGACACTCCCCGAAATAGGGAACGAAAAAAAAAGGGAGGCAAGCCGAGGACCGTGCGCACTTGCCGGCCTTGAGCAGTAAAAATAAATCCCCACGAATCAAGCCACACATTTGGCCAAGTACATATCAGTTGAATACAAAGGTAACACTACGAACAGGTAACACGGACGAAGCGGCCACCCGCTACGAGGAAAGTGTCAAGAACGGAGCATGCACCTATAGAATCCTAACCAAGTGGTTGGGTGAAACGAGGATGGTTACCTTCATCGGCCATGACCGACCGAAGTACCAACACTTAGCATGCAAACCAAGAATCCCAGCTTGACACTTAACACAATCCTGGAGTTGAACACCGGAAAGGAGGTCCAGGACGAAGCGGGCACTCAAACACTCGCGGGAAAGTTGAACACACTGGTGGCAACCCTTACCGACCACACCATTCTCTTTGGCCGTTAAAGGCGCTAAAACCTGGGCAGCTGCTTAAGTTGAACACTTAGAAAAATTTCAAAGGCAAAAGGGAAAAGACATCCCCAGGACGAAGCGAACAACAGAAAGGAAAGTTGCCTAAGTAAATTCCAAACACTTAGAAATTTTTTGAAGAAAGTTGCCTAAGTGAATTTCAAACACTTAGAGAATTTTTTGAAGGAAGCAAAAGCGAAGGAAAAGGTAGGCACCCGGGTGCGCCACGCCGCCCAAATTGGCCGACAACGGTACTAAGCAGAGAAAGCTACATGGCCCAACACTTAGAGAAATCTCCAAAGTATTGAATAACGAGGGGACAGCCTCAAGACGAAGCGGGCACTCAAACACTTGCAGGTGCCCGCCTCGGCCCTAGCCACGGGCGGTAGTTATCTATGTTCTGGTTTGACACTTAGACAAATTTCAAAATTGAAAAAACGAAAGCAACAAGCATAAACATTCAAAGCCGAAGGGGACAAAAGCGCTATTTATTCAATCAAAAGGCGAAGTTACATAGGAGGGCGCTTCGGCCATTACATTCAGACGGGAAAAACAAAAAACTATTACTAATTACAAGACAAAATAAGTTATGGCCGATCAAGCCTCCTGAACGCCCTCATCGGCAGCCTGACCCGCAACGTTCTGATCAACGATGAACTCGGCATCATCCTCGGCCTCGGCATCTGAGCTGGCTTCTACAACGGAAGTGGCGGTATCAGCCAGGACATCATCCTCACCATAGTCTGGTTCGCCGAGGCCAGAGCTTTCTATCGGAGCCTGCATGTCAGAAAGGGGAAGTTTAACCTGCTCCTCCGGATCCTTCATCAGCTTGGGAAGCTGCAGGTTCCGTCTGGCCCACCCCCGGGTATAGTTCAGCGCTTTGAAGGCACGACTCAGCCGCCGATAGAGGAGCCTTTGCATCCGATGCTGGCCCATGTTGTAATACACGGACATCTCGCGCACAAAATACTCTTGGCCGGCAGGGGAATTTTGCCCCCAGTCCTCGAGCTTGGCCGCCACGACCTCATAACACCAGGGCAAGTGCTCATCGGCTTTCCAGCCCTCGGCCAGGAACTTCTCAACAGCAGCATCAGCGGCCTTCACCGCTGCAGCCTCGGCTTTGGCTTTCTCGGCATCATCGGCCCGCCGACGATCAGCCTCACGGGCATCCCTCTCTTCAGCAAGTTTGGCCAGGGCTTCGTTCTTGGCTGCATCGGCCTCGTCGACCCTCTTCTGCAAGGCCGCAAAGTCCTCTCGCAACCTTCCCAAGCAGCTCATGGCCTCATCGGCCGAAGCTGCCTTCTGCTCAAACTCTTTCAAACGGGCAATCTCCCGTTGCTGCCTCTTGTTGCTCTCCATGAGCATAAAGGCACCCTGCAACACCAAACGCTATCAGGCAACAAGTTCGTGAAAACATCAAAGGAAAATGACAAAGTTAAAGAAGAAAGGATTTACCTGGACGACAAGGTCCATCCCCCTGTCGTATATCTTCACATCGCCGAGCTTGTTAAGATAAGTCCGGTCCTTGGCCGGGATGGCCTGAGAGAGCACATCATGGCCGTCAACGCCATCGTTGAAGACACCCCCATCCTTGGGGTATTCAACCTCAATCTTATAAGTGGCCGTAGCCACCTCCTTGCTGGACCGCTTCGGCCGGGACCCCTGGGCGAGGGGGAGGGGTTGAGAAACATCGCCGGAGAGACCAGAGGTAAGATCCACAAGGGCAACAGCAGCACCGGATCCCCCTTCGTCCACAATCGGGACGGTCAGAGTGCCGACCTCGTCGGCAACGGAGGAAGGCGAAGCTTTCTTGGACTTCTTGGCGGGTTGCATGCCGGCCTCAGTCAGCTTTTTCTGGGAATCATCCGCCGGCCGCTTTTTCTTCGACTGGGGGGTGGCTTCTTTGGCAAATCACCACTTATAGCCGCCTTCGTTGCGGCCTCCTTGGCGGCCAGCTCCGCCTTTGCCTTCGCGGCGACCTTATTCATCACAGAGCGGCGATCCATCACAAAGTCTACACAACAAAGAGAAATAAGTTAGCAAAGTAAAAGAACAAAACGAAGTCTACGGAGCAAGGAAGGGAAAATAGCACCCACAAAGGCCAACACAGGCAACGGCTACTCAGGTTGCACCCGTATTGGCCATTTAAGCGGCCATACATATTATGTAAAGAAAGGCCTTGCAACGACCACAACACCCCAAGGGAAAGGAACCCAACGGCCATTAGGCCCTCGCACTAAATCCTTGATGATAACCCTTTGAAAGCGACTTGCGTCCAGAGGTTCTCCCACAGGGTTACCTTGGTCAGGAAATCGCCAAAGGGCTGGATCCAAGGGCAGTATGAGGATCCCGCTTCGGCCTAGGTTTCAAGCTACTCCTTCATCCCTCAGAGACTCCTCGGCCTGAAGCAGTGAGGGACTGGGGGACTACACCGGCCTCAAGAATGGCAAGCAAAATGAGAAACAAAAATGCACAAAGTACACAATTGCAACTACAAGCGCGGCCACATCGTCCATGTACCACAACGGTTCCAAGGTCCTTATAACTCCATCTCCGACCAGACACTGCTATCGTCCCCAAAACCTTGAGCAACACGGCGCCTCGTCGGCCAAAGGCACATGGTGTCATCGACGACGGCCAAAAGGAGTGCATAGCACCCTTACCGACCATCCAAAACAAAGGACGCTCATCGTCCTCAAAACAAGACGCAACCTCAACGGCCTTATCGGCCCAAAAGGAAAGTTCAACCATCAACGATCAAGGAAGGATAGACACTACCTTCCTCGGCCAAGAAGTCTAGAACACTCATCGTCCACAAACAAGCGCACCAAAGGAATGACAGCCTTCCCCGTCCATATCAAGGGGCAGGTAACGGCCAAACTCAGAACAGGGCCACCAACGCTACGACAGAGAGCGGCCAGTGTGGTCCCGCGTCGGCCAAGAGCACCAAGCACCTGGGTTATTTAATCGACGAGTACTCGGCGAGTACTCGGGGAGTACTCCCGACTCGGCCTCCTACCTTGCAGAGTAGGACATTTACTCGGCCCGAGTTAATTATCCGAGTAACTCGGCGATTACTCGGCGAGTTAGGCTACTCGGTAAGTTGGTGAAATAAGCGAGTTACTCGGTACTACTCGGTATATAAAAAAAACTTGCGCACTAAACCTAAAACCTTAAGCGGTGGCTTCGACCAGTGCTGCGACATCTTTAGGAGCTGCGACTGGCAGTCTAGGTCATCTTTTGGGGCTTCGATCAATGTTGCTTCATCATTTCGACCAGTTCTACTGTTGCTGGGAATCACCTGCGAGACCTGCGAGTGCTACAAGGTTGATGCGACTCTGCGAGGTGCTACAGGTAACTCTTTCCCTCGTTTCTTCTTTCGCTTGTTACTGAGGCATTATGTTCCTTTTATTCTATGAATCTATGAATTAAGCTTTGATTTTTATATTAAGCTGTCAGTTCCTTGGTTATTATGTATTAAGCTTTGATTTTTATTCATATATTAAGCTGTCAGTTCCTTGTATTAAGCTGCCAGTTCCTTAGTTATTATGTTACTGAGGCTGTCTCGTTTCTTGTTGTTGTAGTAGTAAGTAGTTACCAAAAGTGAATCATTTTATTAACAAGCTCTTAGAGATGTCTCTGTAATCCAAAAGTTATATAGATGAATGCAAATATTAAGAGTTAACACTCTTATTTGGGCTTTGGTTAAGGAACTAAAGCAGAAAAGTGTTGATTGAAAACCATGGAGTTTGCGTAATACATCCCAGTGAAACGCTTGCATTTGATTTCTTAAACAATGCCTTCAGGACACTTTGTTTGCTTTCACCCCAGTAACTCCTTAATCTTTCTGTTAAGTTATTTTGTTATTCAAACTGCTGCAGCCAAATTTGTTTGATTTTTATTCTTATATTAAGCTGCCAGTTCCTTGTAATAAGCTGCCAGTTCATTGTATTAAGCTGTCAGTTCATTGATGAATGATGATCATTTATTTAAGCTTACTAACATCCTTGAATTTACAGTCATGAACTCTGATCAGTCTGGTCAGGCCTCTAATGGTGCTGAATCTGCTGCTGCTACTACACTTAAGAGAAAATCAGATGATATAGGATGGACTTGGGGAGAGAATAGAGATCCTACTAATAAATCTTTGGTGTGGTGTAAGTTTTGTGATAAGAAAATGTCTGGAGGGATTCACCGTCTTAAAGAACACCTTGCACAAGTTAAGGGAAGTGTTTCTTCTTGTAACAAGGTAACCAATGAAGTGATGAAGATAGTTGCAAAATCATTACTTGAAAAAAAATCTGCCAAGGCAAAGAAAGCTAGAGTTGACACTACAATTGAGAGGGAAAATGCTTTCCTGGATGGGGATGATGAAAGTGAGCTTGGTGATGATGGTGATGGCCAAACTGAAGGTGGACAAACAGCTTCAATCTTTACAACTGGGCAAGGCAGTGGCACAAATGCTTCTAAGACGAGAATTAAGCAATCTAATGTTAGAGGATCACTGGATACCTTACTAAAGCTCGACCATGAGAAGATGAAACAATCAACGTTGGATAAACATAATCCAACTAAGCAGAAATTGAAGGAGATTGCTTGGGATAAATTTGCCGAGTGGGGATATGAGGTTGGGTTAGCTTTTAATGCCGTTAGAACACCAAGCTTTCAGGCCTTTATTCATGCAGTTGGAGATTACGGAAGAGGTAAATGAACTGAAATTTTATAATAGCCTTAATTTTTAGTCCAATAAACTGAAATTTTATTCTTTATTTCTTGTCATTCCTTTTCAAGGTATGCCAGCACCCAGCTATCATCAATACCGCCATACTCTGTTAAACAAGCAGCTTGTCAAAACAAAAGAATTTGTTGAATCATTCAGAGCACACTGGAAGACATATGGATGCTCTATTATGTCAGATTTTTGGACAGATGGTAAAGGAAGGGCATTGATCAACTTTTTGGTAAACTGTCCAAAAGGAACAGTTTTTTTGAAGTCTGTGGGAGAGGAGAATATAGTTCAGGTGATCAATTATAAATTCTAAATCTATTGTCTATAGACTAACTTATAGTCATTTATTAATTAATACTAATTTCAGTTTTTTTTCATGTTAAATGTTAATAGTTCATCACCGATAATGGATCTAACTTCAAGGCAGCGGGAAGGATTTTAGAAGAACAACATCCTAAGATGTATTGGACCCCTTGTGCTGCACATTGTGTGAACTTGATGTTGCAAGATCTTGGTGATAAGTTGCCCAAGATAAAAAATGCTTTACGTGAAGGTAAAGCAATGGTTGTTTATATATATAATCATGGAAGGATACTGAGCCTAATGCGAAAGTTAACAAGCGGGAGAGAGTTGCATAGATCATGTGTAACCAGGTTTGCTACTGCGTTTTATACTCTTAAGAGTATTTGGGAGAATAGGTGTCATTTGCAAGTTTTATTTGTTTCTGAAAAATGGACCAAAAGTGAGTTTGCACAGAAGGCTGATGGAAAAAAAATTGCAAGGATAGTGGCAAGGCAGACTTTTTGGGATAATGTTTATTTTACTTGTCAAGTCCTGGCTCCACTGGTTGATGTCATAAGATTGGTGGATACAGAAGAGAAACCTAGTATGGGTTATATCTATGAATCTATGGATAGATCAAAAGACCAAATTGAAAAGAATCTTGGGAATGACCATTTCACTTGTGCAAAAGTATGGCAGACAATTGATAATAGATGGAATAATAAATTCCATCACGCTTTGCACGCAGGTACAAACTGTTTTCATTTTTTTCTTACTGTAATCTTCTCTTTGTTTTCTTTACAAACTGTTTTTCATTTTTTTCTTACTGTAATCTTCATTTTTTACAATCTGTATAATTTAAAGTATATTTTAATACTTAGTTAATATTTAATAATATAGTTTCATTATGATTTATGAGTCTTGTCACTTGTGCAGCCGGTTATTACCTAAATCCAAGCATTTTTTATAAGCATGATTTGACGAAGATGGAGTCAAACAAAGAGATAAAAGTCGGGCTCTTAGAAGCAATACAAAAGCTCGTAGATGAAGATGCACTTGACAGTATTAGCAGTGAGTTGGTACTTTACAGATCTGCAAGTGGGTCTCTAGGATCATCTATGGCTGTGAGAGCTAGGGAAAAAGTCCCACCCAGTAAGTTTCCATCTCCACTATTACACTATACTAATTAATTAATCATCTTTCATTTTTATTTACTTATAATATTGTGTAAATTAGTTATAATTTAATTAATTCAATAATTTGTAGATGAATGGTGGCTTTCGTATGGGTCTGATGTGCCAAATCTCCAAATGTTTGCACTCAAGGTTTTGAGTCAAACCTGTAGCGCCTCACCATGTGAGCGTAATTGGAGTGCCTTTGATCATGTGCGTCATTTACTCATTTAGTATAGTAGTATTGAATATACTTAACTTATTTCATTCAGGGCATATTATACTTGATCATGTGACTTTTCCAACATGTATTTCATGTGTTGTTTCATGTGCAACATTTTAGATACATTCAAAGAAGAGAAACCGTTTGCTGCAATCAAAGTTAAATGATCTTGTCTACATCCAGTACAACAAAAAGCTGCAGCAACGGTTTTTTGAGAGAAAGCACAATGTTGGCAGTAAGAGTTATGATCCTATATTCTTAAGGGAAGTTGATGAAAATGATGATTGGGTTGTTCCAGATGATGAAGCACTTCAAGACCTTGTCAATCAAGGTGATGATCTGACTTGGGAACAAGTACGAGCAGCACAACAAGCAACTGAGGCACGGACAAACACAAGGAGTCAAAACAGAAGGGGGAATGTGAATGCATCACAGTCTGCGTATAGACTGCTTGATATTGATATAGATGACCCGGAAGTGGAAGAGGAAGAACAAGTGGGGAATCTGACTACTGAAGATCTATTTGGAGAAGATCTATTTGGGGACATGGAGGATGAAGACGAAAATCACGACCTTGAACCCAATGAAGATTAATATCAGACCAACTTATTAGAAGATTGACTGTTTTATCACTTTTGCTTTATGACATTTGCTACGCCATCATTAGGATAATAGGATTTCTATCCTTTTATTCACTTCTATGCATTTTAAGACAATTTAAAGACAATTTTATTACTATATTTTAAGACTACTATATTTAAATATATTATTATATTTAATTAATACTAGGCCGAGTACTCACCGAGTAATCCCGAGTAATCGGTCCTACTCGCTACTCGGCCCTTGACCGAGTTGCTACCGAGTAGCGAGTAAACTGCATAGCCAAGCACAGAAATCTACTCTCCTTCACTTCGTCTACATCTCAGCTTAGAGAGTGGGGGACTCCTGATGGAGTATATGGGTCTAGGCCCCAGGACCCACATACTCAGAAGAACATAAAGTACAAGCCATCAAGTGGTGCCCTCGTCGGCCAAAGGACCCCCGTCGGCCGAAGAAGGACAAACTCAGAATATGATCCTGAAGCCAGGGAACTTGGATGCCCCCGTCGGCCGTGCCCATGTCGGTCGTGCCTACGTCGGTCAGACCCTCGTCGGCCACGGAAGCCTCACAGAACTAGATTTTACACTTAATCATTTCTACACTCATTGTATTCGGCCCAATAGCGGTCCAGTTGTAAATGGGCCTCCCAAGCCCAAGGCTTGGGAGCCCAGCCCGTATTTTCCCTATAAATACTACCTCTGGGAGTAGTTGTAGGGGTTCACAAAATCATTTATTGAAGCATTTACTTGCACTTCTCTCTCTAGCTCTCACTTCTCTCTAGATATATACTCTATCAGATATAATACAAGATCCTTCTGATAGTGAAATAAATGAGGAAGAAGTTCCTTTCTTATCCGAGTCAGATGAGGAAGATGGGTCTGATGACTAGACGTGAGCGAGGAGGGGGATGACTATGAGGATTAGTCAACAGATCATAAAGATCAAACTTTAAATTCTGTTTTTTAGACATTAACTAGTTATGGATATTAAGTTGGTTTGATTTGGATTATTTTTTGTACTACTTTGGTTATTTAACAATTGCACTCTTTAATTGGTGGTTAAGTCATACATGTATATATTGTGTATATGTTATGTTTAAAGTTTTTTAATGTTATGTTTTACTGGAGCGCCATTTGAGCGCCATCGCCGCGTGAAATTACCCCTGCGCCAAGTCCGTCGACGTGCGTCGTGACTACTATGAGTTATATATTAATGATATAGTACTCCGCAATAAAGTAAAAGTGTAAAACATCTAGTGGCATAATAATTGAACACTAAGTGCGTCGTATACTTGGTGCCTGGTCCGTCTGGAGGACGACTAAGATAACGATGAAATGATCAAAGGTGCGAGGTCTTTTTTGCTGACAATTCAGTTTTCTTTCCATATCATTTTGTCCCACACCGGAAAAGAGAAGGCTCACCCTTCCAAAAATTTCTATATAACCGGAAGAAAGTTTTCTTCCTGCTTGCCTTATGGCAACCGGGTAAGCTCCCAACCAATGGGCTTGGGTGATCTCATAATGGGCTTTAACTTGTTTTGGGCTCAGTGTAGTTAATTCCAGTTCAATATTCGTTTATTTTTACATAGAGGTCGGGTTTTTATGGTTTCCGATCATCCGACTCGAAAAATTGGGTCCCAACAAATCAGTACCCTGTTCTTGATTGGTTCGGTTATGGTTCTGCAAATAAGGAAAGCCGACATATTGGTTTGGTTCTAGGATAAGTAGGATTGGTTTGGGACACGAACTGAATCCAGCCCTACTAGACGCTACTGAACCACGAATTATCGGCAATTCTAGGAGTTTACAATTCTGCACAGCAATCCCAATGATACAGGTATTTTTATGATTTTCAATAAAATCGGGATGGCAGGGAGCAAAAGAGCTCGTATAATCATACGATCCTATGTGCAAGATCGTGATTTTGACTACCACACGTAAATGGTAAAAGAGCTCATTTAGAACTATTTTTATTAGAATATCGTAATATACAAACCTTCAGCTGCTGTAAACTCAAAGGGATCCTCTCCATCAAAACCTTTTTTCTCAAACAAACTGCCATCCTCAAGCATTGCTGAATACCTGACTGGGCATTTAAAAGTACAATTGAGAAGTATCAGATAGTCAAAGAAGCACACCTACATCACAGCCTAATATCTTTGTAGCTTGATCATGGTAAAGAAGGACTAACATCGAGAAAACTACTAAAGTACATTTCCAATTATATTGACAAAATTTGTCACATGATAATTATTATTATCGAAGTATGTAAAAAAAGTCAAATTCAAATTCTATTGAAGAAAAATATGTTGAACTCTAATTGCAAAAAATGCTATGACAAATAACAGTTACTAAAAAATGCATTATCTTTTGATTGATACAAATATATAATATGGAAAATACCGATTAGTTTTAAAAAATACAGTACGTTTTTATCAAGTTATACTGTATATGGTAAACTATGACACATGCCAATTAAATACTTCGGTCTTTATTATAAGGCACAATTGACCAAATTACACAAACCAAGGAAATATTTACTTTTCCAGGGTTCTTAAAAAATTATGATATTCCAATTTAACCATTTTTTATTATGCCTTGATTATGAATACTTTATATCAAATATACATGAACATAAGGATCATTGACCCATTTTAAGAAGTGTCTTACAATAAGGTCCGGAGGGATTAAAAGTTTCACCAAGATCACTATCTATTAGGTTTTGGACCATTTGCATTTGTTAAGAGACAAAAAGATGGTTCAAGTGCAAAAAACTTACTACTAACAGCTGCGCCTTCATTTGCAGTCTGAGTTCCTTCCCCCTCTTTCAAAATCTTCTTTAGAACTCCTAAATTGCCGGTCACGTCTATAACAGGTTTGAAGGATACCAGCTCCAGATCTATGCTCAAAGGGAAGCTGCAGGTAGAATCCTTAACCCCATCGCCAGGGGCATCTGAAGAAAGGTAAAATTATGAAAAGTGACTAGCTTCGTAGATTTGCGCAGAAATTACATATGCACACACAAGATACGCAATCCATGTCGAAAACAAAAATGCAATTTGTAATTTTCATCAAAGAACACCAATCTTTATCCAGAATTAACCCGTTACTATTTCCATGCTTCAGTGCGAGGCTTCCTTCTAGTACAAGCTGTATGTGTAAGTGCCCCGAATAGCAATGTATAAAAACAAACATAATATCCTCTTGTGTACTACTCCCTCTGTCCCTTAAATAAATCTCTGATTTGACTTTCACAGATTCGAAAGAGATCATATCTTTTCAATAACTTCCAGAAATGCCCTTCTTACTGGGTAACCATATAGCGCTTTGTACTGATACTATTTCCAATAAAAGTTTATATTATTTAGGGAAATAGAGTAAATTGATGATATTTTTTGCCCAATTAGTAAATAGGACTTTATTTAGGGACGTCCCAAAATAGAAAACAAGAAGATCAAATAGAGACAGAGGAGGAATATTTCAAGAGCATGCATCATTACAAACATGATTTTTATACATTTATACATACTCAAACTGCCAAATTAATAAAAAAATTACCATATTAATAAAACAAAAAAGCCTATGGTGTCAAAAACAGAATTCATAAAAAGGCAGAAAGAATCAAGTTGTTATAAATTGTAAAGATTGACCTAGGTTTTGAACAGGCTATGCATCTTTAACCAGCATTTTATTGGTGTGCAATCCATATATGTTGTATTTTGAAGTAGTACTGGACTTCTTAATCATTAATACCATCACAGTAATCCCCCAGGCCAGGTTGTATTTGGTGGTATGAAATATATAGTACCAATCAGTTGTCCAAACAAAGTTGAGAGGGTAAATTCATGCAAAAAAACATAGTGACAATATTTTATTTCAGAAGTTCTTCCGTCGCAACGTTCTAATAAGGGAATAATGACAGGTAATTGTAGAATTGTCATAAGTTAATTTAAATGCATGGAACATGTCATGAAATGGAAGTTAGTTGAGATAGTAATTATCCGCATGTCCATTACGCGGTTGACACTGTAATATTGCTGGCACACAAATCATGAAGCATGACCATATTGATGTACTAGATATGTTAGAATAATACGTAGTAATAATAAATATTTCTGTTATATGTAATCCCTTGATTAGTCATTTGAATTTTGTGTTTTGTGATACATGTCTCGTCACTCTTTTTCCTTTATAAAGGGCTAGGCGCAGGTCAGATACTCCTACAACATTATTTATAATAGAAGTATCAGTGAATTGACGATCAATTAAAGTAAAAGACGATAGTCGGTGAGTGTACATTGAGGCTGGACAATTAAATTCACTCTCTCCCCCTTTCTCATTGTCTTAATTGCTTTGGGCAATGCTTGGCAAAAATGACCTAAACAAAAGAAAGCGCATAGGTCATAAAAGTGTTGGATATAGTAATATACATCAACTATAGCAGGTTGTTACAAGTATTCTCTGAAGTTAACAATCAAATATGAGTATATGACAGTACCATCTCTGATGTAAAACTCTACTCCTTCCTCAGCTGTTCTTGAAACAATTTTTCCATCAGCAGCAATTGCTGTGTACCTTACTGTCACATAATGACATATATAGTACCAATAAGTTGACTTTTACAAATTACACTTTCATAGTACGAAAATGATAAGGAATACAACAAGGCACATCCTAAGTTATTAAGTACCTACAACTTCATCTAAATCGCCAGGAGGCCCAGTAAGGTCCCCCTTCCCCATAATCCTCTTGATAATACCGCCATCCTTGCAAACATCTACCACTGTGATCCATGAGATGAGTTCTACTTCAAACAGAGTTACAGCATGTGGAGGAACACCATCAGTGCCTGCTACTCCATAAGCCAGTTCGGGAGGAAATGTGAACAATGAGGTTTCACCTTTACTCATTGTAATAATCCCATGATCCAAGCCAGAAACAAGTAGCCCTACCCAACAACTATTTCGAAGTGAATGGAATAATAATAACACAAGAAAACAGAAAAACTCAAATTGAAGGCTAGAAATTGGTAAATGCGAAATGAGATTGGAAAAAAGTGCTATAGATGAAATGCTAGAACGAACCTTGGCCAAGCTTGAAAGTGAAGGGCTGATCTTCGTCCCGAGTCGAAAAAAAATTGGCTCCATTAAGTAGACTACCGGCATAGTGAACTGCAAATAGCTCAGCCGCACGCATTGTGAGAGCAGACGAAGAACAGCTAAGTGTTTAGCTGAAATCTAGAAAAATAGGAATTCTCCTTGTTTGAATGAATAAAGAGCGTACCAGTGACTTCATCGCCGAGCTCAGGTGTCTCCCAACCATTGCCACGCTTGAGAAGCTTTTTCTTGAAGCTAGTGCCGTCGCTACATTTAATTTCTCTTTCCTCTCCCACTTTCAGAGGTGGCGCTGACTCGACAACTTCCCCTGGCTCTTCGTCGAGCTCGTCGTCCTCGTCAATGAAATTCGCCGCCGTAGCTAGGGAGAATTCTACCATTTCCGATTACCACACGAACTTGGTTGTGACTTGTATGTTACGGAGGGATTGTTCCTGGCTCGAGTGATGGGCGTGATATGGAATGCACTAAACATGATACGATACGATGGGACATTGGTTGGGACTTCATTGCGTCAAGCCCGATACCAGGTTATTTAGCTATGTGGGCTTTTGTAATCCACTGGGCCTTGCATTTTTTAATCAAAATAATGAAAATGTGTAGGATTTCTTTTAAGAAAGGAAAAACTGCTCGTAATTTTGAGAAAAAGTCAATTGAATTCTTGTAGTATTTCTCGAATCAATCAGGTCCCCTCCAGGCTCCAGACTCGTCTTCTTCCCCCATGTCTGCATATCCATTTTTTTTTACTTTCATTTTTTCTCTTTGTCACTCGTCCACTCTTTTTCCTTGTTTCTTCAGGTCATCATTTTCCGAGACTCCGAACACACATATATGGGGCTAGGAGATTGTGGCTGTGAAGGGTTGGCATATGGAGATGTAGGGGCGGTGTTCACAGACTATATTTGATAGTTACAGTCAAAATACCGGATTCAAGTATCAAGCAGAATTTAAAGATAAAGAACACATGATATGTTGACGCAGTTCGGATAAATCCTACTCTGCGGGGTTTCAACAGGGGAAACCCGGTCCCAAGAATCCACTAGCTCAGAAAAGTTTGAATACACAGATGGTTGCAAAGCAAGGAACAAAAGTAACAGATCTAACACACTAGAATCAGCCAAATACGAGCAAACGAATAAAATAAGAAAAGGAACAGAAATAACCGGACGAAACTCTCAAAACCCAGGACTATCAGATTCTTGGACTCGAATCAACTGCTCTGGATCTGCGCTTCACCACACGGTTTAATCCTTGCCTTTCTCAGCTTATTCAGGAATCCAGTGTATCTCAGATCACGAAGAAGAAGAAGAAAACCAGAGGTTAACTCTTCACAAGCTCTCTCTCTCAATCGCCGATTCTGTATTAGGGTTTTGGATATGACGTAAAAGATGTCTCCAGAAGAAGGAAGGAGGCCATTTATAGGCGAGAGAAAGAGCTGGATCAAAGTAATAAGAACCGAGCTCACCACGGTTAAAAACAGGCCCAATCCAAAATGAGAGGATAACACTGAAACGGGCCAGACCTATTTAATGGTCCAATTGAATAAATCAATTAGAGTCCATTAAATATAATTACTTTCTAACCTTGCTTTACCTTCCTATCTAAGTATTAAAACATCATGTATAACATAACTAGAATTAGGATTACAAATATAACAATTTGCCCTCCTAAGACTAATTCCGGTGCAGCGCAGCTCATAAGAGCAAATATCATCATTGCTAGTGATAGGATTCATGAAACCAGATAACACCCTTTCATCATCAACCCAACCAAGTAACCTCAAGATCAAGGTACTTCAAAGATTTTGAAGACCTGCCTGCAAAACAAAAACTTAGCAGTAGGAACAATTTTAGTGCCAAAATCAGCAGGGTTAACATCTCCAGTAATCTTATCAATTTTAATATTACCTTTAGAAATCTCATCCCTAATGTAATGAAATCTAACATCTATGTGCTTAGTTTTTTCATGATACATAGGGTCTTTGCACAAGTATATGGCACTTTGGCTATCAGAGAAGACACTAGGAACAACATTTGTCCCCAGAACTTCACCCATTATACCTTTTAACCATTTTGCCTCTTTGATAGCCTCAGTGGCTGCAATATACTCAGCCTCTGTAGTAGATAAAGCTACTACAGATTGTAGCTGAGATTTCCAAGATATACAGTTACAAGCCCAAGTAAAGAACCAAGAAGTAGTAGATTTTCTTGAATCTTTACATCCAGCATAATCAGAATCAACAAAACCTTTCAGATCACACAAATTAGAATTAGAATATTTCAGACCAAGGTTCTTAGTACCAGACAAATATCTTAGAGTATATTTCATAGCAGTCCAATGTTTGGTCCTAGGATCAGACATAAATCTGCTAAGTATGCTAACAGCAAAAGCAAGATCAGGCCTAGTACACAACATGGCATACATGAGAGAACCAGAAGCAACATCATAGGGGATCTTAGCCATTTTCTCAGATTCTTCTAAAGTCATAGGATAGGGATCTCTAGAGAGTTCTAAATGTCCTCCTAAAGGTAAGGGGGTGGATTTAGAGTCATTCATATTAAACATATCCAAGATTTTAGTCAAATAATCACCCTGTGACAAAGAACATGCTCCTATTGGATCTATCCCTAGTCATGTCAATACCCAAAATTCTCTTAGCAGAGCCAATATCCTTCATGTCAAAATGCAGTTTCAGATCATCCTTAACACTAACAATCAGCATTTTACAAGGACCAATTAAGAGAATATCATCAACATACAACAGGATATAAACAGCATTTTCAGTTCCAACATGTTTATAATACAAGCAAGTATCATATTTACTTCTTAAAAAACCAAGTTCACTCATGCAGGAATCAGACTTCAAATTCCATGGTCTGGGAGACTGTTTAAGCCCATAGATAGATTTTTTAAGAAGACAAACATGTTCAGGAAACTCTTTATTAATAAAGCCAGGAGGTTGAGACATACAAATTGTTTCTTTTAAGTCCCCATGCAAAAAAGCAGTCTTAACATCCATTTGCTCCAATTCCCAGTCAAAAACAGTGGTTATAGCCAGCATTAATCTCAGGGTTTTGAATTTTATAACAGGTGCAAAAATATCTTGATAATCAATTCCTTCCTTCTGTCTAAAACCTTTGGCTACAAGCCTGGCTTTAAACTTAGGAGGTTCAGTAGGGTCAAGACTATCTTTTAACCTAAAAATCCACCTACGGTCAATTATTTTGGCATTTTTAGGTTTAGGAACTAAAATCCAAATTTTATTAAAGAACATGGAATGAAGTTCTTCCTGCATGGCTTTCATCCATTCATTAGACTTAGAGTTATTCATGGCTTGTTCAAAATTATCAGGGGCCAACTGTTTAACCACCTCAGCAGCAATCAGTACAAATTCAGCTAGATTAGAGAAGTATCTTTTATTAGGAATAATAGTTCTAGGTTCTCTGTCTCTAACCAATTGATAATAGTTCTAGGGATAAATCTGCTAAGTATGCTAACAGCAAAAGCAAGATCAGGCCTAGTACACAACATGACATACATGAGAGAACCAGAAGCAACATCATAGGGGATCTTAGCCATTTTCTCAGATTCTTCTAAAGTCATAGGATAGGGATCTCTAGAGAGTTCTAAATGCCCTCCTAAGGGTAAGGGGGTGGATTTAGAGTCATTCATATTAAACCTATCCAAGATTTTAGTTAAATAATCACCCTGTGACAAGAACATGCTCCTATTGGATCTATCCCTAGTCATGTCAATACCCAAAATTCTCTTAGCAGAGCCAATATCCTTCATGTCAAAATGCAGTTTCAGATCATCCTTAACACTAACAATCAGCATTTTACAAGGACCAATTAAGAGAATATCATCAACATACAACAGGATATAAACAGCATTTTCAGTTCCAACATGTTTATAATACAAGCAAGTATCATATTTACTTCTTAAAAAACCAAGTTCACTCATGCAGGAATCAGACTTCAAATTCCATTGTCTGGGAGACTGTTTAAGCCCATAGATAGATTTTTTAAGAAGACAAACATGTTCAGGAAACTCTTTATTAATAAAGCCAGGAGGTTGAGACATAAAAATTGTTTCTTTTAAGTCCCCATGCAAAAAAGCAGTCTTAACATCCATTTGCTCCAATTCCCAGTCAAAAACAGTGGTCATAGCCAGCATTAATCTCAGGGTTTTGAATTTTATAACAGGTGCAAAAATATCTTGATAATCAATTCCTTCCTTCTGTCTAAAACCTTTGGCTACAAGCCTGGCTTTAAACTTAGGAGGTTCAGTAGGGTCAAGACTATCTTTTAACCTAAAAATCCACCTACAGTCAATTATTTTGGCATTTTTAGGTTTAGGAACTAAAATCCAAGTTTTATTAAAGAACATGGAATGAAGTTCTTCCTGCATGGCTTTCATCCATTCATTAGACTTAGAGTTATTCATGGCTTGTTCAAAATTATCAGGGGCCAACTGTTTAACCACCTCAGCAGCAATCAGTACAAATTCAGCTAGATTAGGTGCATTATGATTTTCAGTTTCATCATTATTATCAGGCACATTATTTATCATAGTAGTGTCAGTCAGATCATGCACACAAGGATTATGAGAACCAGAAAAGCTACCTTGTGAGTCTGAGCTCACTACTACCTGTTCACCTCCATTGAGGTCACCTTGTTGGTCTGTTTCAGATTCTGAATAATCATTTGCTGCATTGTGGGATATTCCACTGTTATCCTCTTTGTAAAAAGAGTCATCATCATCCAAGGATTCAAAGAAATTTCCATCAGAAACATCTGCAGTCTTACTCAAGGCAGTATCAGTTCTTTTTAAAGGAAAATCACATTCATTGAAAGTAACATCTCTGGATACAATACACTTATAAGCCCCTGATTGTAAAACCAGTAGCTTATAACCTTTAACTGCCTCAGGATAACCTAACATTACACATTTTAAGGCTCTAGGTTGTAATTTACCTTGAGAAACATGGGCATAGACTGCACACCCAAAAGGCCTTAAATGAGAAATGTTTGGTTTAACTCCAGACCACATTTCCTGTGGAGTTTTGAAACTGATCACAGAAGATGGGGATCTGTTTATTAGGTAAGAAGCAGTAACCACTGCTTCACCCCACAGGGAATTACCAAGGCCTGAACTGATGAGCATACACCTTGCCTTTTCAAGCAGGATTCTGTTCATCCTTTCAGCAGTGCCATTCTGCTGAGGAGTACCAGGGACATTAAGTAACCTTTTAACCCCTTCATTTTTGCAAAAGACATTGAATTCATTGTTACAGAACTCAAGACCATTATCAGTTTTCAAAGCTTTCAGTTTAAAATTGGATTGAGACTCAACCAATATTTTCCAGATTTTTAAGTTCTCAAAGGTTTCATCCTTAGTTTTTAACAAGAAAACCCACACCTTTCTGGAAAAGTGATCAACTAGAGATAGAAAATATTTCCTACCTCCAGTT